GGGGCTTAGAAGCAGAACAACAAACGTATCAGTGAATGTGTTTGCCGTCGAGGTATTAACGAAACAGAAAGTCGATGAAGATAATCGATCAAAATCACTTGCACCCCGCTTGCAAGTTTGGTTACAAGATTACAACTCTAGAGAGCATTTTGTGTGGTCGTTGGGGGCGTTTGGTTCTGAATATGGCTATGAGTGTGCAAAATGTTACGCCATTGCGTCCTCCCTATTCGCATACGTCCGAAGAACGGAGGCGAATGCCACTTCGACTTGTTTCGTCTACTAATGACTCTCTTATGACAGTGTTGAGGAAGCAGCAATGCTATATCGACATGTTTCGTCTAGAAACGATTCTCTGATGACTGTGTTGGGGAAGCAGCATATGCATGTACCTTATTGGTAGATTTGTTAATTATTTCGACGCTTTTGGACAATACTTGACATTTACCACTTTTTAATAAAACAGCAAAAAAGGGTTATCTTCCATTTAATTCCACTTAATTTTGGTATCCATGACAGATACGTATTTCGACTACAATGTGCAGTCTTCATCAGTGAAGACTGCACATTGTAGTCAAAATACGTATCTGTCATGGATACCAAAATTAAGTGGAATTAAATTTAAGATAACCCTTTTTTGCTGTTTTATTTAACATTCCGCTAACAACCCAATTTCATTACTTCATTACTTCACTTTTTAATAATTTCTCGTTAAAAATCAACAGTTGAAAGCATTGTTATCGATGCGTAGAAATATTTCTGATCGATTGATGATACAATTATTGAAATTGGTCCAGGGGCAGCTGAGTTATTAACGTTAAAAATCTTTCATAATTTCGTTACATGTACCATTTCCGGTTTTCACAAAGTGTACCCCCATATAGAAATCACAGACGTAGTCCTACGTCGAAATAGAAACTTATCTGATAATCATATTCTACTACCACCGAGCGTTTACACAACAGCAGCAGAGCAACGTGCAAAGTGGATGATCTTCGATCCACGTGTGTGGGGGGTCTTCGTTGTAGTGTGCATGTATGAGGCTCGGCACTCAGCTGAACACACGATGATGGATGAGCGGTGTAAATGCGGAGGCAGATGCTGACACTCGATGACGAAGATTCGTGCGCAGGTATGCGTGACCACGCACCGATGGTGCGCAAATAGGTTTGTGAATTTTCAATCGCAAGTGATCCATTTTCCTTCCGATGATGCCGAAAATCACACTTCACAGAAGACTCAGAGAAAACTCACTTCCTGATTAATTTAGTGGGAATTATGCCAGGATTTTAAGCGAGAAAAAACTGATAATTTAAATCAAGGGAATAGCGAGAACACTTCCAAAATATCGGACCGCGAAACAAGTCAGCCGTACTTCTTGCTAGGACGCAGTGGAATGCAACATTATATGTTGCCAATTATAATTTGTCGAAATATCTTAGATGTATTTGAAACTTCTGTGCAAAGCCATAAGTTTCCATAATCTATTCGTTTTTTTGCTAGTGAATTTCAATACTTATAAGTACTGAATAAAAAATGGGTGGGGAACATGATTTTATTTTTCGAAATTAGGCATTCCAATGTACTTTGGATTAGTTGGACTCTTGAACCAGTTTGAATTTCATAATGACTTTGTTAGTTCCAAAAATCAAAATAACTCACAAGTAAGTTATATATGGTTTTATTTACTCGGTTATTTTTCCAAACAAATCATATATATTGAGCATTTTGCATGAAATTGCAAATATATAAAGATTTTAAATCTAATATGCAAAAATATGACGTTTCTTTCGCCAGAAAATCTTGAATAACTAAATAACAATCAACAACAGGCATATACTTTTTTCGGTAGAGTTGTTTGTCATAAAATTTATCATTTTTACGTAGGAATGTCGTCTGTGATTTCTATATGGGGGTACACTTTGTGAAAACCAAAAATGGAACATGTAACGAAATTATGAAAGGTTTTGAACGTTAATAACTCAGCTGCCCCTGGACCAATTTCAATAATTTTACCATCAATCGATCAGAAATATTTCTCAGAATCATAAAACATTATTTTTCATCAAAATGTTTCTATTGAAAATTGCAAGTATGTGCAACTGTTGCTGTGATAGTTAAAATTATCACCGATTGCCTGCGAAAAGCGATTTCCCTAAAACAGATTTAAAAGTTGAATTCGAACCGGTCTCACCAAATGGTGTTTATTCAATCACCGCGTGGTGAGTGGTGGTGTTCTCCAGTACACAACAAAATGCTCCCCGCAAGCAGCTAGCTATCAAGGCTGGCCTCAAACGCTGATCGGATTCAGATCCAATCACCATGTGTGGTGGTGTCCGGTCGTCGGCATCAGCAGCAGTAGCAGTGCTTGTAGCACGTGGCGTTGAACATTGTTCTCCAGTGCACAACGAAAGGCTGCCTGGAAGCAGCGAGCTGCAGCCCACATGAGCATCCATAGAAGGAGGAAGAAGCCGCACCGCTATTGATCGGAATCAGTAGTTCTTCGTGAGTCGCTGTGGGTCATCTATGCCAAGCGCGTCATACTAAAGGGTATAAACAGAGATAACCCCGCTTAAATTCCTATTCCTAACAAAACACATGCTCCTGCTGCAGTTAACAAAACAGATTTATTATATAAAATTACGTAGTCCTACCATAGAGGCAACTCTAAGACCAGAAGGTCCCGAAGAAACATGTTCAACTTTTTGGCTCAGCTCTGGTACTATCTTCGGTCCCAAGCTAATCGATGCACCCCATGTATGCATTTTATCTGTCAAACTTTCATAGCGAATCAAAACAAACATAGTGTAGTACTAGAATTTCGACTAGAATGGGGCACGTTAATGGATTTGCTTGGAACCAATAGGCTAGTCAAGTAGTGAGCCAATTTTAAATCGTTAGTTGCCTTCGGTTGGTCCTACGTCCTCATTGCGAACAACCCCATAGGCCGTGACAATTATTTCTCATATCGCAAGGAACCCAAAGAGTGTTTGAAAAAAGGGATCGGAGTTGACCGATTTTTTTTTGCAAGCCAATGGAAAGCTGCTTGAAAATTGTCTCAAGTTTAAAACTGTTTTGTTCTTTCTCAGTTGATTGCCGCCAAAAGCTCTGAGCCGGGAGTGCTCAAGCCCCATGACTCTATCATAGTTTGTTTACATACATATTTCGCCAAAGTATGTTTTACTGCAATTCAAAACTCAGCTGAGTCATAAAATCTATGCTGGTTTTTAAAACTTTGATCACTGATGCACATTTTGATCATTTTTATGAGATTACAATGCTTGAAGATGGATAAGAACAGTTAATGCATTTGTTGATTCTGAATGTTTGACTTCCGTTTGACAGTTCACGCTGGCTCTCAAATGACAAGCACATTGAGTGAGTCCGCAGTACCCAGGGTTGCATCAAATTTTTATGCATTTGAAATATCTGTTCAGCTATGACTATAAAAATGCACTTTATTCAAAAATCATACCGGGGCTTAATCACGTTTTCCAGTGTTGGCACACGGCCAATCATACCAACTTAGCGACTGAGATTAATTGACTCAGAGAATTTTCTTTCCATACGAAATTTACTCAGATTTGGAATAAACTGCACTTACTCATAGCTTGTGAGTAACTGCAGTTTATTCCAAATCTGAGTAAATTTCATATGGAAAGAAAATTCTCGGAGTCAATTAATCTCAGTCGCTGAGTTGGTATGATTGGCCGTGCACCATACAAAAGTTTTGTTCTAACATTCATGACTATCATTTGGAGGGTGAGCGCCCATGTTTTCGGATATGGTGTTATTTTGGGCCACCCTATTGGCATTGGCCATAACAAACGGATATGCAAAGTTTCATGCAAATCGGAGAAAGTCGAGCCTGGAACTGCTCTTCAACCAAATTAATTAATCCACCACTGGCACATCTTTCGAATTTGATGGTGGATTAAAATTCTCAATTAATCGATTCTGCCGAAAGTTGACTGAATAGCTACATTTCCTGTTTTCAGCTTTCTATTGTGGGTGTAATATCCGCTATCGCGTTAATATGATTACAAGCTATTATCAGCACTTGGTCGCAATGCCTGACACTGATGTGAACAATCATTGTCTGCCGGCATATCGTACAAAGTACGTTAGGGTGCCAAAGTGACCATCGAATTTTTCAAATCGACCATGTACAAAATGTTCATTGCCTCAAAAAAAAAAAAAAAGACCGTATGCAAAATTTGGACTCAATCGGACATGATTTGGGGTAGGAGCTAAATCGCCAAAGTTCGAACTTTTTACATCTGAAAAATCCCTCAAGGTAGGGTCACGGTGTTCGGGTTCGGGGCATCGACATTTGTTGTTGTTGCCAAATGACTTAAAAATGCGCCAGAGTTAATTCTAAACTTTTATTTTAGCCGAAAATCTACTTTCTGGCACTTGGTGAAATTTTGGAAATCGCTAAAAAATATTGATGCCAAATGATGCCAAAGTCCCACAAAGTAGTTTTTTGACAAAAGAGTTCTTTTTTAAATAACACTAGATCTCAACGTTTCATGAATTTTTAAGACATTAAGCATCAACAAGAAATCTACTTTCAAAATTTCGCTATCAGAAAGTTGAGATAACACTAGATCTCAACGTTTCATGCATTTTTAAGTCATCTGGAATAAGAATAAAATCGATTTCCGAAATTTAATGTAAACTCAAATTAGGGTCGTTCTCATTCGCCGTGTGGGAGATTTTTCCGATGAAAATAACTCAAACTTTGACGATTTTGCGCCACCCCAAATCAGGTCCAATTGGGCCCAAATTTTGCCTAGGATCTTTATTCGAGGCAATAAACATATTGTATATGGTTGGGTTATATTTTTTTTCATTGGCACCCTACTATAGGTAAATGGTGTCATGGGTAACAACAGTTTGCGTCTTTTTCATATCACAACCAGGAATGACTAGTGTATTCCATTCTAAACCTCGCTTCTAATTGTTTCTAATGCTGTTGTCCCATTTTTTTCACCACTTAGGTGCTAGCAACACGCGTGCTTTAGATGTCGTTTGGCTAAATCGTATAACACCGAGAAGGAAAGAGCAGCTGAGGGATGGCACCTACCGAGAACGAAATGCGGTACTCGTCCAGTCAGCTCCGAACGGAACCGGAAGATCCGGCAAAGACCGAACCATACGACTTTGAAGCACACCCGTTGTCCTCCGGGGAACATCTCGAGCCGGGGCAGGTCCCCAAGAAGTCCATCTCCTGGCGGGATGGCATTCCTCAGGTGAGTTAAGCAGCTGTTCGTTTTTGTCGGATTACTTAAACACATACTATGCTCATTGCAGATCACGGCTGCAATATTGGTTAATTTGTTGGTAGTGCAAGCAGGCATAAACATGACTTATTCGACGATACTGTTGCGGCAGCTTTCCACCCCAGACAGCCCCATCCAAATCAACAAGGCCGAAGCGTCCTGGATTGCTAGCGTGGTGACGATCGCCCTACCGATAGGTTCGCTCGTTGTCGGACAGCTAATGGATCAGTATGGCCGGAAGAAGGTTTCGCTGGCTACCTGTCTGCCGTTTGCCATCGGTTGGGCACTGATCGCGCTGGCACAGGACGTCAATGTGATCTACGTCGCGCGGATAATCTTGGGCAGTTCGGGTGGATTGACCACGGTGGCGTTGGTGTACGTGAGCGAACTATCGCACGTATCGATGCGAGCGATGCTGCTATGTCTGAACAGTGTTTTTGTTTCGTTCGGAATCCTGCTGACGTGCATTTTGGGTGAAGTTTAATGATCTTGGATAGATTCTGGCGAAGGATAATGTTGATTTTCCACATTGCAGCACTTTTCTTCGAATGGCGAGCGATCGCAATCATCTTTACCGTGTTTTCCGTTGGCACTTTCTTTCTCATCCTGATCATACCGGAATCTCCTTACTGGCTCTTGACGTTCACGAAACGGGATCCTTCCGAAGTCCGGAAGGTCATGAATTGGGTCTACCGGGATCGAACTGTAAGTAATAGTAGAATTCAGTCTAGGTTTAAATTCTAATGAATATTTATCATCGGTAAGCTCGCAGAAGCCCAGTATCACCAACTGATCTTAACCGAGCGCAGTCCCCAGCGAGCAGTCACAGAATCTAGGATGAATCGATTTTCGTTAAAGTTATACCTCCACCCAAGGGTCTACCGACCTCTCTCAGTCCTGCTTCTACTATTCATGTTCCAGCAGCTTTCCGGAGCGTACGTTCTAATCTTCTACGCTTTAAATATATTCATGGAGATCGGAGGCTCGCAAGCGCAAGGTTTCAACGAATACAATGCCCTGGTATTCCTAGGTCTGATTCGGTTCATCATGTCGATACTGACATCTGGGTGAGTACATCGATCTTCCTCCAAACGAACTTATCAGCTCTAACCGACCTTTGCTACAGATTCTCCCGCAGGTTCGGGCGACGACCGTTATTAATCACCTCGGCCGGTACCATGGGCTGCTCTGCTATGGTTGCAGCCCTCTATCTACACTTTATCCGAAACGCTGGACGGGAAAGCCACCCAGTTGGAGGAAGCTATCTGCTGCTAGCGTGCGTTCTTGGATACGTTTGCTTCAGTGCCCTCGGGTATCTGGTCCTGCCGTGGACCATGATTGGTGAAGTGCTACCCACCGATGTGAAGGGTAAACTTGGAGGATTCGTCGTGTCCGTGGCGTATGTGATGATGTTTGTCGTGGTCAAGGCGTTTCCGTACCTTCTGGAACTGGTTGGAATTCAAGGTATTTTCTACCTGTACGCCATCACCAGTTTTGCCGGGGTGATCTACGTCTACGGGTGGGTGCCAGAAACGTTCGGCAAGAGCTTTCAGGAAATTGAGCAACATTTCGTGAAAACGGACTAGCAAATAGGTAGCAAGTTGTTAGCGTAGTACTTAAGGCGAGTGGAACAAGTTACCAAAATTAGAGTTCAAATTTCATGTCTTCCAGAGGCTCGGTGAGGTAGTTGATATACATGAACGATGTGAAAGACATAACCGTACCACAGACAAACAGACGAATTCTGTATTAGAAACTTAAAAATATCGTCACGAAACTCACTAACAAAACTTGCTTGCCATGTCTCAAACAACGTTGCATACAAGTTTGCTAGAATGTACACGTACAGAATAAATAAATCACCGACTGATTCACACTTACTCACTTTTTAAGCATGCTATAATCCCCCATTCAAAATGTTACTCCAATTCCTTAAAGCGTAGGTTACTCATAGCGCTGAGTACCCTACGCTTTTAGAAATTTGAGTGAAATTTTATATGGGGGATTATATCATGCATAGAAGTGAGTAAAGGTGACTCAGTCCGTGAGTTATTCATTTTGTCCGTGTATAGCAACGTCAAAGTGATCCGATGTCAGCGCTATGTTGGTGGATTCGCGAAACTAATGATATTTAAATTGAACGATAAATGCGTGCACGACGATAGAGGAGAAAGAGTTACCTTTGTTTGCCTGTGACAGTACTATAGCCCACTGACCCCAAAGAACTGGCACTGTGATTATTTATGATCAGGACAATTACTTGTTTTGGTTAAACCTTTCTAATTCTAGGACGTTGCCAGCTGGATTGAATATGATGTACAATTTGTAAAGCTTAGATGTATTTTATAGAAAATATACATTGTAAAACAGGCGTTGACTAATGGAATAATATCACCCTTCATTGGCTTCACATTTTCACACCTGATGCTTGGGAGTTGTAATTAAAAATGTAAATCATCTCCTGACACATCCCCATTGTGTTCTTTCGCAGCGCATTCGACAATTGAACCAGCAAAAAGACAATGTAAAACTTGTTTCCGCATATCCCACTCGATGTCAGTCAGTCAGTGTCGCAGTAGAGAAATGACAGCTTAACAAATTTATAGCTTTTCATCATTTTCCGGACGTGTCAATGCTTCATCAAGTTGGATTCTTGATGCGGCGTTGGGCGAGGTGCGGTGCCTTACCGACTCGCATCGAATGTGTCGACTTCAAACTGTGTGCCTGTTGAGAATTGCGGGCTGTGGAAAAGGAGACACGACAAACACACACGTTCATCGGTTTCCATATGTAAACTCGTTAGGTGCTAGGTCGTTAAGCTGAAGTACATTCGGTCCAAGGATGCTAGGTCAAGGGGGTCGTTAGATCAAAAGCGACATTTGAAATACTTCTGTTAGTCAGATTTGATAAAATTCATGCCCAAAAAACGATTTTACAATGTTACATTCAACGTTTTCAGTGTAATTTATATTTCTTGCATTATACTCAGAAAGTTCTTACTGATATCTAAGATACCTGAAAATACTTAAAAATACTTAAGCAATATTTAGCGCTAGTTTGTTACCACCGTTGCTAGACACATTTCATTCGATTATTTACGCAATGTCATCTGGGATTTTGTGTGTGCGTGTTTAGAAAAATCAATTATTATTTTTTAATTTATTCCTTTCTTGTAAAAATCGAGGAGGAGACCATTTTGATTCAAGGAAATGCCAAACCGATTCACCTGTCATTCAAAGGGAGAATCTGGAACTATTTGGAAAGTTAGTGTGGAAGAAACTGAGTGTGGAAGCACATCATCTAAACAAATTTTTCAATCCCAAAACTATCTCTGCATTAATGTGGATTGTTCGTCCATTAGGATCTTGACCGTTGGACGATAACTCACGGAATTACGCTGATTAAAGCTGAATAAAAGGTTGTGAAAGCTTTCCGCACCATTCGCACTTATGACGTCCGGGAAGCCACATCTCCTAGATTGCCGCCGAATGAGTTCATTGTAGAAGTGAATCACATTTCCTCGGATTTGGAACCTTCGATGCACTACTACTTAAGGCTTATTATTAAGGCTGGGCATGATTTTGTGTTATCAGAGACGATTGTTATGTGTTAAAACATTAATATGGATTGTTTGGGGAATGGTTTGAAATTAATTCATATATTTTAACTAAGGATCATTTAACACGAAATGGGAACAAATTAGTAACGTGTTTGAACTAAATCGTATTTTTGGTATATCAATGGTTTGAAATAAATTAATATTTTCCTTCTTATCCTTACTGGTTTCCGAAGCCTTAAAGTGAGAAATTCATATTGATTTCACATTAAGCGTTCGGTTACTATCAGGATACTCACTCAGCTCCCTCACCGGTCTGTCGTAACTCATCTTTACCGATGTAAGTTTCTCAAAACGCGACACGATACGACCACCAGTGGCAATTGAAATCAGTTCAATTTCGAGTCAATCAACCCAACGAATTGCTGACAGTTATTTATTTATTTATTTAATATTTCTCATCTGACTTTTTGTGTCTTAATGAAATTTGATAATTTGATTGGGAAAAGCCGAAATGGCGTAAAAACCCCACATCTTTTCACAATACACAATACAAAATACAAAATTAGGAACATAACATTTAACAAACATGATGTCAGCAGCAGTCCGAAGCATAAAATGTGTAATTGGCATGGTCCATCGTTGGAAGCAAACCTCGTCGTCAAGTAAAATACAGAGAACATGAAACGAAAAAGATCCAGGTAGCACATTTCTTAAGCTGTGAGAGCATTGGAATGTTACTCACCTGTTGCAAAATGTAATTTTGCCCATCATTGCACGTCGAGTTATTCCAATTTTCAGTAGAATTCATCCCTCGTGCAGACTTCGTTGAATTCGGTTACGAACTGCAGCTGCAGAAATGTTGAAATCGAAGTATTCGTAGAAGCTGTTAAAACTAGCAGACATGAGTCTTATTGGATCATGCAGGCCATAATTTGTTGCGCGCGCCCCAAGATGTAAGAAATTCCTTGTCCGCAATGGTCGTTCAAGAGCATAAATTTCTAATTCTTCTAGCATACTTGGAGAGTCGATACCGCCCAAAAATACCTTAGCAACGAACACTGCCTGAGCGATAGTGCGTCTACGTTTTAATGTATCAAGGCCCAAAAGTTGGCAGCGATGTTCGTATGGTGGGAGATTGACAGGATCGTTCCATGGGAGGTGGCGTAATGCATAACGTATGATTTTTTCTGAACGGATTCGATTCTCGCTATCCAAATCACTTGGTATGGGCACCAGATGACATCTCCAAATTCCAATATTGAACGCACGAGAGAACAGTACAGTGCTTTCAGGCATGTTGGATCACGGAGTTCATCAGCAATCTTGAAGATAAACCCGAGTTGTCTATTAGCTTTAGCGATGATCTCAGAATAATGCAGCTTGATCGCGGATACTGCTCATACGTTGCAAAGGTTCATTGTTGATTGTATAGTTGAACTTGATTGGCTTCTGCTTGCGATGAAAAGAGATGATGATGCATTTTTGAATACTCAGCGTGATGAAGTTCCTGGAACACCAATCCTCAAAGTCTTCGATCATATGCTGTAACTGTAAACAGTCAGTAAGGCTTCGAACTGCTCGTAGTTTTGATCTAAACCCACAGTTGCTCAAGCGAAACAGTGATCGGTGTAGGGTCCAGGCAGTAATTTAAGCGCTTTGCAACAGCTATGAGTACACCACCTCCACGAGATTTAGTGCTGTTTAGACGGCTACGATCATTGCGAAATACTGTGAATAAGCTGCCAAAAAGTAGCGATGAATTGATTCGACCGTCAAGCCACGTTTCGGTAAGCACCACAGCATCAAAGTTGCACTCGAGAGCAGCCAGGAAAAATTCATCAATCTTCGTACGTAACCCACGAACGTTTTGATAGTAGATCAGCAGTTCACCAGGTGATCCATATTGAAGCGCAGAAGTACGTTGTTCGGCTAGTGACGATGGTTGATTACCGATGGATGAATTTCCTGATTGCAGAAGCTGGAAGCCTCCCTCACCAGATCCTATCACAGGACCGGGACGGCTGTTGAACGCAGGCTGGACGGTCACGACTGTGAAGGAGGGCTTGGACGCTTCCAAAATACTTTGCGTTGTGCGTCCCGGAAGGCGTGGTGTCGGTGACTGTGTTGCATTGGATGTGATGGTACTGTGATAATGAAGGTTATCAGTGCGGATAGTGTTCAAAACGTGATTGTACTTGCCTGCGCAGGCAGTTTGGAAGACCCCATCTCCAAAATCATACACAGGGCCGGGACGGCTGAAGGTCGCTGGCAGGTTAGGCTCGACTGTGATGACAGGATTAGGGGCTTCCATTCTGCTAAGATCGATGCGTCCCGGTTCCGAAAGCTGAGCAGCGAAAACATTGGCAGGCGTTTTAGGCAAAACATCTTGAACAACAGGTATTGCGACGTCATTACAGGAGTGTTGAAGGCTTCGTTCGTAACATCCAGGATTGGTATCAGGAACTTGATTGGGAATACGAGGTGTGGTGCTGACACTCGTAAAGAAATCAGGCGGAGAATTGTTACGATCATTCGGTAACTTGCCTGAATTGAGAGCTTGGAAGACCCCGCCACCATTCTCAACCACAGGGCCAGAACGACTACGATGACAGGAACCAGCAAGCACGACTAGGTTGAGAGGCTTCGGAGCTTCCATGAGGCGACAGGCAGTGCGTTCGGCGGATCCACGGGTAAGATTCAGCAGCTTATCTCGACATTTTGATGGGCTCGATTTCAACCACTCGGAGCAGGTTTCTCCGAACCGCCAGTTGGCTGATTGATGCTGATCACTCGTCTTTCGTTTTTTACATAATTTTCAAACTCCCGAAAGTAAACATTTTCAGGCCACGAATTGCTTGAAAGCGCAACATCCTTCAGAGCTTTGCTCACGCCTACCTTGAATGTTACGAAACTCAAACTCGCGAGATCACTACCTTTAGGTACCACTTTAACCACTCTTGGATTCACGTTGTCGTCCAGATTCAGGGAATCTCTAGTGAGCGATGCGATATCCGCTTCTTGATGAATCGAATCCACCCGCATGAATAATTCGCTCTCCCTGCTCCAACTGGTTCGCTGAAAGAAAAGTATTTTTTGAAGAACTATTTCAGAAGTAGAATTTCAAATACTTACTCATAAATATGATTAATTTAATTAAAAAATGCTTGAAACTATTATTGATAGGCTTTAGTACGTGATTAAACGTAACGGAATATACAACAAAAAACAACTACATTAGTGTCACTATGATTAAAAGTACACTGGAGTCGCTTTTTACGCGGGTGATACGTCCCGCGTAAAAAAAAACCGCGTAAAAAAAACCGCGTAAATTCCGGAATCCGCGTAAAAAAAAACCGCGTAAATTCCGAAATCCGCGTAAAAAAAAACCAAGTAAAAAAAGACCGTGTAAGAAAAAACCGCGTAAAAAGCGATATACCGCGTAAATTCTGAAATCCGCGTAAATTCTGAAATCCGCGTAAAAAAAACCAAAATCCGCGTAAAAAAAAACCGCGTAAATTCCGGAATCCGCGTAAAAAAAAACCGCGTAAATTCCGAAATCCGCGTAAAAAAAAACCGCGTAAAAAAAAACCGTGTAAAAAAAAACCGCGTAAAAAGCGACTCCAGTGTATACAAAACTTAAAATATTTAAAAACTCTTAAATATACATATCAGATACTAGGAAACACTTAATTGATACTCCCTAACTAAACCTCCACTCCTCAGCTTCCACTGAAAGCGTAACGTACTTAATGGATTGCCCCTTAAGCTA